ATCAATAAAAGATAAACAATTCCAACATGTTGGGTTCATAAACATGTACTTACTTCTCTTTCATTAAAATTTGCACTACTTTTCCATGTACACTGAAGATTTGTTTGAGTGATTCCTAGAGAAAACCAAAGAACTAATAGTGATCTTTATTTAAGTAAAGACAGATACACAATGAAAAAATACATTACATTGTAAATTTTAAAAATTTCAGTTTAATTATTACTTTGGGATCCCCCAAAAACCAACAATTTCCCTGCTGTCACCAACTTACTCTTTCCAAACAAAAATACCTTTTTTAAGTGAACTGGTTTTCCTAAATTACTACATTGGAATGGCTATAAGCAAATCATTCCTAGAAGAATTCTTATGAAGAGTAACTTGTTATCAACAATTATTTCTGTAAGTTAAAATCATTCAGTAACATGAAGCTTTCATCATTATTACAAATAGTAAATTCCCTGGCTTGAAACAACATTTAGGACTAATTGCATTTTTCCTTATGTTGAAAAAATTTCTCCAAGATCATTTCTCAATTAATTAACCCTTTAACTCCCAAAAGTGATTAACAAATGACTTCTCCCTATAATATCTAAACATTATCAAGCAAATAGGTCATGAGAATATTCAAACTTGTCAGGCAGAAGTTGTTTTCCTAATTTACAAGGAAATGTGTATTATCTAGAGTTGAGAATTAACAATCAGATTTTAGGAGTTAAAGGCTAAATTCCATTTTACCTGTGTTGTTCCTGCTGGAAAATTGCTCACATAAATGGGATATCCCCCATTTTCCTTTATCATAGCTATCACAGAATTTTCTTGACTATACATTTTCTTTTTCTCTCCTGCCGTTCCCGTTGGTGACAGAGCACTTTCCGTTTCCCAGCTTTCTTCAGACAAAACTGTTTTCATTTCCCTTGGCAATGACAAAGGACTCTTGTAGGGAACACTACTACTAGGTTCTGTAACAACAGCATCTTCACTCACAAAACCATTTGTGGTTACAGAATTTTTAGTGTCTATCTTTGGTTGTTCCTTTCTGTCTTTCATTAATTTTGCATTCTGAACAGAGTTCCGTATAATGGCTGGATTAATCTTCAACACAGAGTCACGTAATTTGTAACCATTCAAGTCACTCATCGCTTGGACAGCATCTGCATGTTCGGAAAACCTCAGAAATGCAATCCTAAAAATTTGATTTTTATCATAATGAAAATGAGAAAATAAATAACTATCAGTAGAACCTGAAAGTATTATACTTAACACTAGAGATAAAGCAGAATTTGCCAAGTACTATAATTCCTGTATTGTTTTTAGAAAAGCAAGAGTTTATTTGTCAGTGCTGCACTGCTTGGCATATTATGCATCAAAGTAACAGGAATCATTTCAGAGAGAAATAATTATTATGTTTCGAAAGGTTCTGATTTGCTCACATTAACTTTCATTTTCTGCATTGCTTACATTAACTTTCATTTTCATTTTTTTGTTATTAGTGAATCTTCAGTCTCTAATAGGTTACTATTTATAGCACATTATGTCAAAGTATTATCAGCACAATACAAATTGTATATGTATAAGGAAATGCCACAAAGCAGGCCTTGGCAGACTTTTTATGAAATTGGAAACAATCTCCCCTCCTACCAAATATACACAAACATGGCAATGATTAGAGCTGATGTGCTCCACTGACAACCAACCTGTTAGAATTTTCTATCTTCACTTCCTTTAAACTTTTAAAATGCTTGAAAATATCCCTCAGTTCACTCTGCAAATATAAGTAGAATTTAGAAAGCCAGATGAAAAAAGAACCAAAATTAAAATCACTCACTTACAAAAACAGAAATAATCAGCGAGAAAAATTCAGCTATGTCAAATTTGTGTAAGAGAATTCTGAAAATCTCCTGCGTAAAACTTTCAGTCTGATCTTACAAAGAGGCAAGACTGTCCAAATACCATGAACTTAGCTTCAGCAATCCACACCCTCCACAACAAGGCTAACAATTTTTTCTTATTAACCCTTCAACCCCTAAGAGTGTGACTAACATCTAATTTCTCCTTATAATATCACCTTTGAATCACACTTCAAGGTCACAAGAAGAAAGGAAATGATCACCAACAAAAGAAGTTCTTGATTGTTAGACAAATTCTCCTACTCAGTACCTTAGGAAATGTATGGAAAACAGTATGGAGATTATGTATGATGATGTAAGTCAGGGTGTAGAGGGTGAAGTCTCGGGCCTGTATTAGATTTTTGGTAAGTGGGAACAAACCAATAGGGGAGCTACTGAAATCTGATACACAACTGTTAACAGGAATTAACCCCCTGCTTTTTCCATCATCCACTTTTTTTTGTTCCTCTCCATAAAACAACTACGTAGGTTTGGCTGATAAGGACTTCAGTCTGGTTAGTGTTCAAAAAAACTTTCATTATAACACTTCGCCTGAAAATTTTACAACTGAAAAGTACACTGGTTGAAATATTGACTCAACAACTTGGCTCATATCTCTGCAATCTGAAGGGAAAACATTATGTGCCATTCAACCCTTCAACTTGCATGAGTGACCAAGACAGAATTTCTCCTTACAAAATCAACACAACATCAAACAGACAAGGGATGAGAATATAGAAAAATATCACTTTGGGGATTATTAGTTGATCCAAAACCAAATTCTTTGAAATAGCATCACAAGAATTGTGTAGAAGACAGTAAGGAGAATATGAATCTTAGCAGTAAAAGGGTTAAATGGAGAGAGGCAGGTGAGACAACTAAAAGTAAATTTATTGTATACAAACTTACCTCTTGACAATTTAATGGCAAATGCCCGATATGAATCCCGTATAGCCCTTTAAAGTTTGGTAAAATGTCTTTTTTTCGGTCTGAATCTACCGTCACTTTCAAGGAAGCTTTATCGTGTACAACAGTTCGGTCTTTTGATTTGCTCCTCTTGTTTCGAGGCCACTCTGAAGGATGCAGAGGGTTAAGTCCATTTGGGACACCTTCGGCCTTCTTTGCATGTTTGGAGATAAAAACCCCCTTTTCAGGAACTCCAAACACTTTATTTTCTCCATCCTTTACGGAAAATTCCAGCCTTGCAACGTCTGGGATAGCCAGCAAAAATTCATAGAGGTCTTGGAAGCCATACTTTTTGAAATCAAGTTTTGAGTTTGTCAACTGATGATAATCTTTCTCTACCCTCGTTTGCTTGATCCCCTTTATGCTAGATAACAACACGGACCTTAACGATATCTTAACTGACTGAGGCACTTCTCCAGCCATTGAAAACAACAAAGTCCGTGGAACATGACCTGGTGATTAGCTTTTCCAAAACAATCAAGGCTACTGTTGTAGACTGTTGCAGGCAGTACACACGACCACGTGCCTCAGCGGCTATCATATAAATACCAGGCGCGTTTCTAAGATCACGGTGATCAAACGTGCATGCGCTAATGAGTCAGTTTTGGATAGCGATAAATTTCAGGGAAACGATGTTATGTCACGCAAAAGTCACGGTAAGAATTGTAATTTTTTATCAAACAAGTTACACGCTTTTTTGAAAAGCATTGTGATTGAATGGCCTGTGTGGTTGTTTATAGCTCCTCCAAGACAACTTGGTTTTCTCGGATCTGACTGCTTGAAAGCGAGATTTCGGTCCGTGTCTCTCAATCGTTTAATCGTCTAAGAGAGACAAAGCAAAGCGGTTCTGGGACGGGAAGGATAAATGCAATCTAGAAAGCAGAGGCCATTTCTTTATTTGCGGCTACTTTGAAAAAAAAAGTTAAATTGAGTGCAGTGCCTTAGCATGCCCACTTCATTACAGTAGTTTCCTTTTTAAATTAAAAAAAAACAACAACAACTTTGTCGTCGATATGTTTTGTATAATTTTTACTTCTTTGCGATATAAACTCTCAAATATAGTCGATGGGGGAAGTCGAGGGCGTAATAATTCTCAGTGGGGATAACGCTATGCGACGGATAAATCTCTCTCAGCCCTGGATAAATCGCTACCCATTGGATTAAAAAACGTATTTCCGTCTTAATATCCAACGCCCGATAAGGATTTATCAAGTGAATAACGTTATCCACTCCTAGAATCTGTGAGTAGGTTAGCAAACTCGCGCCACTCTCTCAATCTGTGATTGGGTTAGCAAACTCGCACCACTCTCTCAAGTGAAAACCGGCAATTAAGACTTGGTCGCCCGCGTTTTCCCGCGATTAGGAAGTTTAATTGATTTCACTTTGAGTTCTCATCGGTTTTGAAAGGTACTTTCCTTTCTTCCGATTAGTCACTGTGACTTCTTCTATTTTGATTTAGGAAAACAATCTTAGCAAAGAACACAACTGCTCAGGAGCTGAACGGGGGGTGAAGGAAACTTCGGTTGGCTTTCGGCCGCCGGACAGGAATGCCGAACAAGAAATTTTTTACCAAAAAATGTTTATTAAAAGACTATTGCGAACAAATATTCTGATATTTTAGCATTCTACTCAATACACAGCTTTTTCAAGTGAATACAATTGTTGCAACGCTGTAAAGATTTTCAATGCACCTAAACATCATTGGTCGCCTGCAACCAGAACTTTATTTGATACCTTATCCGTTTCAGCAAAAAGTAATTTATATGTACTCTAGATTAAACTAAATTGCAGAAATAAAAGAGTTTATTTCATGCTTACCCGAAATAAACAATCAATAACCTTCCCCCTAAAATAGGATGGGAGACTTAAAGCGTTGGAGAGCAACCTTTATTGAGAATGAACAACTGATTAGTTTTCAACTTTCAGCAAGCGTCAATTAGGCTGCTTTTGCTTGAAAAAGTTTGAATGAAAAACGAATTCATCTTACTCGCTCAATTAGCGGTTAGCTCAAACAAGTACAATGTGGTAATATTACAAAATTCTCAAAAAACTCGACACGCTATCTCAAGGGGTACTCTTAAGTTTTTGAGCTGAAGACAGCTTACTTGCTTGTAAGCTAGCCTAAGGCGTAAATCTCTGGCTGTTAAAGAATTTTCAAATATCACTTTTTATTATAATAAAAATTCTCTATATTACCCATGCTCGTGCATTTTAATCTACGCTGCAGAGTGCATATTGAGCATTTCTTATAGATGTGAATTGGAATTCCTAGCAAATCATATTAAAACAATTGATCGTGTAGTGTGATCCTCCGGGTAAGGGTAGTCTGGAAAAGTACGGTCGACAGATGAACGCTACCAAGGGCTCTCAGCCAAGATTCAAAACATTCGACTGACCACAACCTCCTCACATAACTCTGATGATGGCTTCCAACTATATTTTTGAAACATCTGTCTCTCCCACCGAAAACGGCCATTTTTTAAGAACTATCTGGAGCGGCATGAGTGCACTTACCGATCGACTGTTATTTTCAGGTTTAAATCATTTTCTTTACAATGAAGCAAATAAAGCAAATTTATTTAAGTATTACTACCAGCATCCACAGCCTCCCACAGTTTTTTCCTCACTTGTAATTAGTGAGCCACAAGCTTACACAGCAACAAAACAATAGAGAAGAAAAGAGGAGATTCTACAGCACTGTGCCTTGCTCCTGATTTGCTGATTTTCATTGTGCCAACATTGACGCTGGGATCGATTAGTATCGTGTTGTTGAACCTAGGGACGCGGAACACGAACCTTTTCACCATTCCGTTACGCTCGAACTTTGGAAAGCCTGGTGGAAATAGAACGTATTCGTTGTTTCCTGTTAAAGCCTGTGAGGGAGAGAGGTAAATGAATAGTATGTTAGCACCCTGTACCGATTGACTTATGTATACAAACTTAAGATGACAATGGCCATGATGAAGACGAACCAGCCACCAGTCATTTTATTGTTACCCGCGTTAATGATATTTTTATTTAATAGCATAAAAATATTTATCCATTTTCACATCTTTTTTCCTTTTTGATGTCGACCTTTTCCTCTAGTTAATGGCGTGCATCGAATCACAAAGGGCTAATCATGAAAGGATAGCATTAGAACTGTTTCCTGGAAAATCAAGGGTTCAATTGATGCGATTTTTCAGGAATGCAGATTATTTTTGCACCCCGTGAGTAAGACTTTTAATCTTTCAGTAAATAGATAGCTTGCTCGGAAATCTCTTCTTTCGCCATCATAAGAATCCTGAGAGGTAACCAATATGTTAACTGACAATTGCTGTAACGTTGGGACCCTATGCCCCTTTTAAGGAATCTTAGTTCCGCTTTTCGCTGGTGAACCGTACACATCGTTTTTCGCCCTCCTTTGACACGCCACTTCACCCCTCCCCACGCGAGATCAGCCAATTTCGACCCCAGGAACGCATTTCACGTCTAGTCATTCGAAAGACACTCACCCCTTTATTGAGCACCATTTCTGAGTTTCCACCCATGTTGAATATTTTAGGACAGTCGTCTTTATCATTGGGATCATCAGGAACACAAATATCTTCTCCTGGTAGCTCATCGTCATCCACTTCTTCGGGTTCCTCTGCCACGCTTCTGATGCTCATTCCGACATCAAGAAACTGACCTATTTCGTTCGCACCAGTAGCTTTATTTCTGCACACATCGGAGTTCATGCCGCAGAACTGCCAGTCACTAACCTTAAGAAAGGGGAAAGAGAAAACGATTAAGACTCAATAAACGTGTAATCTAAAGACTTCCACGACCACTACCCTGTTGGAATCAAATCGTAACAAAGCATGTTTTTGATCAAGAGAGAAATAAATCGTGGTGCAGACCCTTAGGGGGGTCAGGTAAATCTTATCATGACTCAACCAATATCCTCTGACACCCCTCCTCTCCGGCGATAAATATCGATCGATGAACAAAATAGAGTAGATCAGATCTGCTCTCACAAATAAAAGCTCTCTGACCTGTGTACAAAAGGAAATCGATGCAACTTACTTTGATATTAAATTTGAAAGTTCCACTTCGAACATTAAATGACTCGTTGCCAAATTTGATTTTTCCTGACTTCAGAAATAGTACCACCTGAATTTGTAGGTTTGCTTGAGGACCAGCCAGGGAAACAGACAAGTTGATACGTTTGACAGGGAGTCCTTGATAAGTTGTAGAGTTATCCAACGACGAGAAGGTGAACTTTTGAATTTGAGTTTCCAAGGACTTCAATGCATGTTTCTTTTGTGTGGGACCGGTAAGACCGACCACATTTCCATTCGAATCTTTTTCTTCCATAGAGTCAACTTGAAATGTTAGCATCTCATCGTCGTCTTCGAAGTCCTCTTCCTCCAATTCCTCATCATCATCATCCTTGTCAAAATGAACTGCCTTTATTTTTCCTGTGTTGCCTTCTATTCTGACTGAAGTGTCAAATCCCCGAATTGTAACAGTGTTGGCATTTGTATCGATGTCATCTTCGTCAGCCAAGCACGTTACAAGGAGAACGGCTGTCAAAGAAAAAGGCCAGGAGAGAATAAGTGTAATTTAAAAGGAAAATTTTCTGCTTTAAATTAACCCTTTGATCCATAAGAGTGACTAGCTTGTAATTTCTCCCCACAATTTCATCCGTGAATCACACATTAAGAAAACGAGAATAAAGAAAATGATCACAAAATAAAGAAGCTCTTGATTGTTAAACAAATTCTCCTTTTCAGCACTATAAGAAATGCATGGAGAACAGTACGGAGAACATGCATAATGATGTTAAGGTAAAAAAGGTCAAGAATCGGACCCAGACTCTCAACAACTGGCACTGACTGAAACTTAACCAAGTTTGTGTTCCATCGGACGACTGGCTTTAGACCATTTCTGCTGAGACTAGAACAAACTCTTATAGTCGTTTTTACCGTTATTTAAATCAAGAATAACCGTTTCCAAGAAGATGTAATCGTTAGTTGAGCAGAAAAGTTCACGTTCTGATCTTTCAAAATCAAAAGTACTTCGGAGAAGTCATCTGATCGTCTATAAATGAAACCTTGCATACATTAATTTACCGAGCAGCTCAAAGTTTCAAAATATTCGTTTCAACCACAGTTGAAAGTCGAATCCTCGAGGCATTCATGTTATCGTCTTTTTATTAGCGAACACCTGGCTAGACACATAAATCCTCTGTTCTAAGATGTAAATGATTCAAGATATTCTAGAATCAATATGATTTATGTAAATAGTTAAACGAGAAATTCGTATTGTTGCTTACTGAAGTGAGATTACGATGAGTTTTTAATCCCAATATCCAAGTGAGGTTCAGAATTGCTCTATTGATTTGTGACATTAGTCCAAATTTCATATTACCTTCCGTTATGTTATTCATTAGCAGATTGGAAGAAAAGTATTTTAAAACAATGCCCGTTCGTGTTTGTTTAGGAGCGTTGAGTTAGTCTAACTTGGCACCTTATTGTTTGAAAAGAAATCTATAACCATATCTATTGCAATTATATAGCAGCAATGAATTCGTCTTAAAATATATATGGTAGCTGCATGTTTTCGATCAAACCAACATAGCAATATAACTAAGAGTGGATGAGCCTGCTAAAAATGAAAAACGCTTTAGCAAATCAGCCAAAGAGCACGAAATCGTACCATTGCCATTGGTTTACAGGCAAGCTGTCTCAGAGAGTAATTTGTATCACCTGGATGCTTTGGCTCTCTTCACAGTCCATGAAAAAGTTCATACGCATGAGCTGCAATGAATTTTGAACGTGCCTATCTCGGTATTAGGTTGCCGGCCTGTCGACTTTGGAAGATTGTCACCTGGGTACTAATCTCTCCTCATAGAATGCTATCATTTTTTGTCAGCATGCTCGCGTTTGTCACAAAAAGACTACACATCGACCGTTTCTGTTATATTGTAAAACGTGTGAAAGTTTTTCTTTCGCGGAGTAGTCCTTACATCGATATTACTTCACAGGAAAATTAGACTGGAAGTCTCCTGTTAAAGAGGTTTATAATGGTTCGCCGTATGAGTAGGTCATAAAGATGTCATTCATTTTTTTAAGGTTGAAAATGAAATTATCTAATCACCTCTAATGTATTGAACCATTAAGCAAATTTCCATTTGTAATTAAATACACTTAAAGAAGCTTTCTCACGCGCATCATTTTCAAATCCAGAACTCTTGAAATTAGCTTTTAACAACAGAGCTACCTTAAGTGGAAAATTGAAAATTCACTGCTTCGACTAATTAACCTCTTTAAGTATAGCTTTGGCTTCAAAATATTTTTATATTGCTTTTATAGCGTTCGATATAGTGGCCTCTATTTGAACGATGTTGGTTTTTCTTTTTCCTGAGTATGTTTTGAAAAAAACTGTATGTTAAATTTAAACACGTTTCATGAGCTGAAGCAAACTAAATTTCAAATGAAGGCCATAAGAAGACTATCGCGCTTTGTTTCGTAACGGCGCCATATCGATTGGAACGAATGAAAAAGACTTGGACATTATTGCCTAGAATGATAATTGAGATAAATATATTTTTTGCTTAAATGATGAGAGGTAAAGATAGTAAAACGAAAATACATGTAGATTTAAAATTAACGAAGTTTCCTCGCTGCTCGATTAGAATTAAATCAAAAATTAATCAGCTCAAGTTAATCAGTCGGTTAGTCACAAATCATTAATTCTCATAACACTGTAATTTCCTTAACAAAGGGCGAAAATTAAAGCTATTTTCCGGTCTAATTTTACAATTTTTAGTAGATGTAACTCACCAAAACAGACGAACAGCAAGGAGAAACGAGAGGGAATCATGTCAGATTTCAGTGCTCGACTGTCAGGACTACAACAACCTCTTTCCTCGACGAGGAAAGAAAATTATGAAAAATTTTATTACTAGCGCATTAATATAGCACCTGATTGGAAACTAATTATCCCCTCGGGCTCTGACGTTTCAATTGGCAGTAACTTGTATTGATCGATATACCGTTGCATTGATATTACACCGGTTGTTGCCAAACATACATTTAAAAAACCCTGAAAAAGAGCTTACTTCAAGCGCGAACCGATTTTAAGCGGTGTTCAGCTTCCCCCATCTCCACCTCTTCCTGATCTTCGATAAAATTTGTAAGAAAGATTTCAAACCCTTTACTGTATATTAAGATTGCAAGTGTTTTGGGATAATGACTTGTTTAGCCAAATAAAGGTCGTTGTTAGGGCAATATTTCTGTTGTTTACGCGATGTAAAACTTTGGAAACACATTAACAAAGAAAAACTCCTTACGATCTGATGTACGTCGTGCAGTCTGAGGCGGCTCTGACACGCAATAGAACTTTCACAAGACTATTAAAAGTGCAAGACTGAAAGAACTAAGAAATCTCAGACAACACAGTAGATTTTTGCTACCAGGTAGAAAGCAAAGCTACATCATTCCGCACTGTAGAGTTAAATTTCTTAAAGCGCGTGACGAGGTATGAGGATTTTTGACAATTTAAAGGTAGCTTAAATAGGGTATTTTAATACGCGCGACGCACGAGGAATCTATTAAACTCAAACCCTTAACGGTTCATTGTTTACCGAAAACCACCATTGTGCAAGTCACGTGACGATAATTAGAGTGGCAAAGACAGGAATCACTGAAATAGTTGAAGAGTTTCCTGTTTACACACAATTTATATCATTAAGTTTTCGTCTCTTTTTGTAACTTCTCTCTTTTCCTTTGTAACGTGTGGAGTTCTCACCCCTTAACAGTCCCAAGATATCATCTGAAGTTTCCCCCTTCTAATAACTTTTATTTTTTAATAAATTGATTAAAATAATCCGTGAATAGAGAATTTGTGTGTTAATCAACTCTGGGATTTACGTGTTTGAATGATTTTAGGCTTGCTAACCAAACTCGAAACTGTTGATGAACATCAAAAGTTTCCGTCCATTTCCTTCCAATGAAAAACAAAATCCGCAAGTGATGTTGATTTTGCTACTAACAAAGAGAAATATTTCTTTATAAATTTTTGAGTTTATTAGGATCGCACTGCTCGGGCCACGAAATAAAAGAAACTCTTCTCAATGCTCAAAACGCGAAGAAACTTTTTCACCAATCTTGATGTTTGCTGAGGACTGAAATGAATTTGCTGACAAAATCCGGACTTGTCTAGACGTCTGTGGGAAAGAATGTTTCTAGAAAACACCATAATCCGGTTTCATAAGATATTTCACCTTTTATAAAACATGACCATTGATCAGTAAATTTTATCATGTCTATTTTAAGGTTGATATGAATCTCATTATTTTCTCACGGCACGATGTTGTTTGCTTCAAATAACGGTCGTTAAATACTTGTCACTCTTTCAGTATTGTTTACTTATGGCAACCAGGTAAAACAAAACTAAAGAGATGAGGATGAGCCTGTTTATTTATCTGCTTCTTCAAACTAATGGCTTATTGAATCGTGTAATCTTTCTGTAACCAGGAAATCGCTGTTCACGGTATTAGTTGAAAAAAAAAAATTGAGAGAGAAGAATCTCGACTTTTATTTAATCTGTTAGATGAGTCTAGGAAGTGGGCGATCAACGGGAATCGGTCTTGAAACTTTCTGTTGAGAGAGAAGATCGAAATCATAGACAGAGTTCCGAAATTTGAAAAGCAGTTTTGTCAACCGTCCCGAAGCTCGAGAGAAATGAAAATATATCTTTCAGCACTCAGAATAATTGCTCCCTATTTTCTCAATCAACCCCTGGACAGCAGCTCGAAAGCAATGTATCGCATTCAGTTTATAGAAAAAAAAAAAAAAAAAGATTGTAACGTTCGGAAAATCAAACTACTGTTTCCCTGCCACGAAATCTTTCTAACGGTCTTTCGGAATTATAGACTCAAACAATATTTCTGCGGGTGCTAAAATGTGATCGTTTTATTGGATATTTTACTTTCAACATATGCTAATTGCATGTCACGTCTATTTTAAACTTCCTACGTCATTTCTTGTCTCTCACAAATGTATATTTATCTTTTAGTTCACACAGAGGGTATGGCAAAATATATTACGCTTTCACTATCGGTTTCTAATAGCAACCATGCATATCAAAGATAAGGATGTTTAGTTTTCAGGAAGTTTACCACTAATAGCTTTCTCATTATCGTAAACTTATATTTCTTTTAGCAACTGAGATAAGGTACTTGATCGTTATCTGTTCCAGCAAACGAGGATTGCAAATGGGAACTGAGAGTATTTTTTATCAAAGTTACCAGTTTAGCTTTTCATTTCATCAAACCGGGAAAAGAGTTTTTAGATATGACCTTTGTTTAACGAAAAACATTTGAAATAAACATTTCTTTCCTCTCAGTGCCTTTGAGAAGACTCTTAGAGAAATAAAAGCTCTGTGTTATTAACTTACAGTATCCAGGGACAACAGAGTTGTATTGTATTGTTTTCACCGTAATGAGAACCTCTATGGTATGTTTTGGAGACCGATTTAGTGACCAGAAAATCCTTTTGAAAGAAGAATATAAAAAAAAAAAAAAAAGAAAAAGAAAAAACAGACTCAAAAGAACCACTACTAACTATGGTAGAAACTTATAACTCGTTTTTTTCTCAGGAAGGAAAGTAATGTAAAACCATGGCCACTGGATAAAAATTGTATTCTACTAGAAGGGTGTTCTTTTTATTATCAGTTTCAGTTGTTTATAATTGCTACGGAAAGGTAACAAACTACTATAAATGAATCTTGCAAAAGAGTCGGCTAAACCAATTAATAAAAGCAACACAGAGACGCAAACATACTAAGCAACAAAAGATAGGAAACGAAATGCAGTGATTGGCCAGCGTTGTGCCCTCCTCCACCAGGCTTGTTCGTTGGATTAGTAACCGCAGGGATGTAAGAACCAACATTGACACTAGGGTCGATGAGGACTGTGTCGTTGAACCGTGGGATGCGGAAAGTGAATTTCTTCACCAGTCCTCTTATGGTCTCAAACTTTGGGTAACCTGTGGGAAATGCCACGTAGTCGTTGTTACCCGTAACCACCTGCGGGAAAATCCGAAAAAATAAATACAGTTTAATTATTTCAGGAATTGTCAATAAGATATTTCAAGAGGAAGGTCAGAGCACCGCAGAGCAACCGCATCAGCTTTTTCTTTCACAGCAATAAACGAGCCACCAAATACGAATACGTTTCCAATACTTATGGTGGCGGGGAGGGCTGAAAACGCGTTTGACTGTCTTGTGAACTCATCTGATAAATTGTGGGAATAGCTGGAGCCAATCAGGGTATAGAAGAGTCTTTCTGAGGGTAACAACAAATTAAATTTAGCCGGACAAGCAACCCCGAATTTCGACCCCAGGAACGCATTTCACGTCTAGTCATTCGAAAGACACTCACCCCTTTATTGAGCACCATGGTCGAGTTTCCACCCATGTTGAATATTTTAGGGCAGTCGTCTTTTTCGTCGGGATCATCGTTAACGCAAATTTCGGCGGATTCGTTTTCAGATTCTTCTATCTCTTCAGGTTCTTCTGCCTGACTTCTAATGCTGAGTGCAAGATCAAGGTACTGGCCAGTTTCATTCTGGTTGTTCTTAGTACAAACGTCAGAATTTCCACCGCAGAACTTCCAGTCACTAACCTGTCATGGAATTAGTAAAGCTCGTTTGTATGCAAAAGTTGAGATGCTAACTAGCTAGCTTTGATAGATTCACTTCAGTTCCTGAGAGGATTATGGGATTTGGTGGCGTTTTTCAAATTCGCTTGAGTAAAAATTATCGATACTACAAAGAAATTTCCAACCGAGTCAGGTCGAGCGTAATTCTAGATTGCATTGGTTTTGCTTAACTTCGCTCTGTGATTGGTCAGGAAAACTTACGCCATCCTCTCAACCAATCACAGGCGTAACGATCTAATCGCGATTCGGTCACTCGCGTTTTCCCGCGCTTCTGGCGGTTTGCTTGTTTTTTTTTGCGTTTTCCTTGATTCCATGAGACATTTTCCTTCGTTCTGATTGGCTTTTTTTATTGTTTTGGTTTGGCTTTATTGAACTCTAAGCCGGGAGATTTTTTTAAACTCTCCACCCTGGGTATTTAAGTGTCACTGTACCTCAGCAAATTTAAGGGATCTCACCCCATCTCTGGCCTAGCTGAACATAAAAGAGCGTTAGAAGTGTTCTGCGCTCCGAAACCAACTTTAATGTGGTATTGCGAGTGTAACCCACACAGATGAAAATTATGCCTTATCATAGCCATACTAAATACCAAACGTACCTTGATGTTGAATTTGAAGGTTCCACTTTTCACTGAAAATGTCTCGTTTCCAAACGTGACGTTTCCATCCCTCAAAAACAGCATCACTTGCAGATCAACGCTGGCGTTGGGACCAGTGAGGTGCACAGACAGGTTGACATTTTTGACAGGGATTCCTTGATAAGTTGACGAGTTGTCCAACTGTGTGAAGGTATACTTTTCAATCTGAGATACCAAGGAGCTCACTCCATGTTTTTTCTTTGATGGCCCCGTCAGACCGACCGGGTTCCCAGCCGAGTCTATTTCCTGCAGTGAGTCAATTTGAAAAGTCAAAACACCTTCATTGTCGTCACTAAAATCTTCCATTTCGCCTTCATCGTCATCGTCATCTTCGTCATCGTCATCCTTCTCATGATGAACTGCCCTTATTGTTCCTGTATTGCCTTCTATTCTGACCGACGTATCATTTCCACGAATTGTAACGGTGTTGGCAGCCATGTCTACGTCATCTTCGTCAGCCAAGGATGTCGCAAGGAGGACAGCTGTAAACAATTCGGCAAGTGAATCAGGTAAATAACTCTTTTGACCAAGTTGGAAATAGTAGTGACTGCAGCTTAGCAGTATTTTTTGTTTGTTTGTTTGTTTGTTTGTTTTTTTTGTCGTTGTATTCAAAATTTGCCGATTGGGTCCAATTCTTAACCGCGTTACCAGGAGCTCGTGAAACAAAGAGACGCAAACACAAGTCTGCTAAACTATGTGACTAATTTTCCGGAAGCCGTTTTCAAGACGCCAAGAGATTGTGTACAGGAACGGGGATAATTGTGAAGGCATTGATATGAAAATTATTTCAGTTTTTAACCTTGAGAAAATGAAACACCTTTTACAAAAAAAGTTTTCACGGTTCTTTAATAGTCATTATAAAGTTAACTAAGGTTTTCCGAATATCGGGATGAACTAGTGACTGAAGATATAAATGTTTATGTTCCTGGGGTAAAGCATGTTGAGGTCGAGTTTATAAGCTGGTTTACGACATGGAACAAAAAATTATATTGGCCTCGAAGAGACTCAGCAGCATTCCATGAAAACATTTCTTTCAAAACGATATACACACTTGGATACACAATCGAATATCATAATTGGTCTAAGATGAGAGTTAATCGTTTGACAAAATTAGTGAGCGTTCACGCTAAAAAAAATTCAAGAACTATCTTGAGTTGCACATGCAATGCTTACAATAAACAGAACAGTTCTGTGCTGTCAAACGTACAAACCAACTTTGCAATATAGCTCAAGGTGAACTGTCATAGCTGTCATGGACGGAGTAAATCATCCTGCTTAACCATCTTATTGTCATGAATAAATTCCCAAAATACTTCACTTATTCAACTGATGCTGAAAAAATGGCATGCGCTTTGTATAGTTTTCGTCGTTCGTCTCAACAAATGAATAACTTTCACCAACTTATGTCAGAAGCACATGGATTTATGTTTTAAAATTTTAGGATTTTTTTTCCTTTTTCAATCGTTCTATCTAAGTTTCAGGGAAAAGCAGGTAATGTATACTAGGATTTGTTCCTGTCACCCAATCAACAAACGAGCAGAATCCACATAAATTTTGATAGGTTAAACAATATTCCTTTTTTTTGTTATGACACCGTTAACCCATTCTGCTTTTCTCCCAAAGGGAGAGACAGAGGCGGGAAAGGTTTCGAATGAAAAACGGTCTCCTGAGTTTTCCGAACTACTCTTTTAAGACTAATCAAAGGATTTCCGTAAAGGTTTAAAAACCGATCGAGTGATGGTGTTTCAAAGCTGCTTGAATTACTGGAACTGGTGAATTTCTTTTTTTTTTTTAATGTATAATAACGCTTGTAAAGTCAACGAAAAATTTGCATTCGATAGTTTATATCGCTGGCAGATTTTAAACCGACGAGATCCAAAAACGGAGAAAGAGGCACGATAAATGACATGTACTTATTGACTGAGTGGAAAGGCTGGACTGGAAACTATTTGACTTGAAGTCATGGCGAACTGACTGAGCGCCGCGACGTCCTTGCGTTATGACCGAGAGCTAAATATTTTCCCGTACGGCCCGACCTAACACATTCAATAAACATTTTAATAAATGACCATCGTTCTACCCAGTTTTGGCTCGCAGCTCCCAGTGCCGCCGCGCGACTTCATTTTTTTATGAAGAAGGGAAATTAATCGTTTCATCCTACTTTCGTCCAGCATGTTAGTTGAAACTACTTACCAAAACAGACGAATAACAAGGAGAAGCGTGAACGAAACATCTTGGCTCTCAACACACGATTGCAGCAAATTCTTTCGTCACCGCGCACAGAGAGAGATATAAAAAAGAAACTACAACTTCACCTGTATTTATTTGGAAACTGCATGAATCTTGTGACGTTTCAATTGGTAATATTCGTGTTTGAGTGCCGTTTGCATCATCAATATATTTGCTGCTCCTTTCAAAATGTCGTGAACATTTGAGTACCACATTTTCATTCGACCGTAACCGATCAAAAAAGAGAGTTTTAGGAGGAGTGTGTAACTGCTCACATCACAACATTAATTTGTCATCATCTTTTCTTAATCCTTTCTCTTCTCTTCAGTGGGTGATGAAATTGCGTGTAGATAATTAAAGTCGTTTATTTCTGGTTTTGATTGTTTTGGCCCAGAGACTATTTGAACAAAGGGAAGTGATTGTTGAAGCAATATTGTTGTTGATGGAATGTATAATTTTGGAAACTTTCACTTGAGAAAATTTGCACGGACAGTCTGCCACAGCCACAATGTCTACAATCCTTTTTGTGTACCAAGAAAAAGTTGCTATTTTGATAATCTGCCTCTATTATCCAATTTTATAAAAGCACAAAGGCTTTTAACATGAAGCCTGAATTATGGGTCGACGTATATCAGACATTGTTTGAAATTTCAGTTTTCAAGGTTGCGTGATACACCTGCTATGACCCTGAAGCCACTTCTGGCGAATGAAAATGAAATCGCTATGAAGGAAAAACAATGAAAAGCGTTCCCTTTTCGTTTTTGCGAAACAAGTTACATTTTCACGGACACGAAAGGTGTCTACAAACAAAGATACTATCAATAAATTTTCAAAATTCGCGTCTCTAACTACTATCTACTATGGAGCTACTGTGTAGGCCTACAGAGCTTTATCAGAATATGCACGGAAGTGCAATTTTTACTCAAATTTGAGGCCAAGAAGGCAATATGTGCGCATAAAAGATCGAAATTCATGGCCACCCTAAAAAATACGATCTTAAGCGTGAGATCCCATCTCTCCCGAACCTGTATAATATAACAAATATAAATATAAAGGCTTTTTGTATAATGCAGAATTTAGTCACGCAATGATTCCTCATTAAACCGTGATGTGGAGAAAAAAGGATTAGGCAAACTTTCTAATGATATTTCAATATTTGTTATATTTAAGTATATAAAAATTGCGTGCAAGAACCAACCCAGAATAACATCATTGCGCGGGGTATTGTCTCAAGGTTTCTGCCTAGAACGATAATCCAAGGGCTTAGCCTTCGAAACATCATTTCTGTGCACACTTAAAAGACACTTTGCGGTTTGTTATAAATGATTTGAATGTACTTAATCATTTTATAACGCTCGTGCGACCCGGTTCGATGCCGACAAACTCCGCCTCCAACAACGAAATAACAAAGTCACCATGAAGTGGACTGAGGAAAAGTAAAAGTAGAGAAATTAAGATAAATTGAACCAGTAAAATGATAGCCTCTAGAAGTCACTGATTGTTATGGGACCGTTGCTTCTTGTAATAATTGATAAATGTCACGAAAAAAATGAGGCATTTTTTTGCATGTTTATTTTCTGTGTACTCAGATGCTGCAACGTGAAGATTCCACGATTCCCAACGCATTATCCATGCTGAAGTGGACAAAAGCTGAGATTATTCAGAATAATGCCGGAAACTTTTGACAGTCTCGATTCTGATATTAATAATGACAAGTTAGCGGCCAAATGAAAAATCATCACACCTTAACAACCCTTTCGATCAAAAACAGACCACAACAAAATACAATATATTTGAGTCCATGTCAATTAAAAATATCTAGGGTGATAACTTTATTGCAAAGAAAAAAAGGCGGTTGTCATTGGCAACGCGACAGTAAGTCGGGGTGCTGTAATTTTTTTTTTACGACAAACATGAAAAAGATAACTTCATCAGAAAATTAAATAAATTAAAAGAAGAAGCGAGAATTGATAACCACGGACAACAAATCGTGCAGTAGGGGTCCAAAGTGCGTGTTTCATTTATTCATTCATCTATTCATTAATTTTTTTTTTATTCCTCGATTTTATTTCTTACTTTGTTATTGTAATGCTGATCTAACGTTAGCATTTGTAACAGCAAAATAGTTAATTGTAAATCAAAAGTACGCAAAGCTTTTACTTAGCTCCTGAAACGTTAGACTAGTTTAGTATTAAAAGTAATCTTCTCTTACAGCAAACATTTTGATAGAAATAAAAATGTTGTGAAAAAACAGAGGTAAATAAATAAAGAAGTAATGCCTCGTCTTTGGACTTCCCTCAGGCCAGGGCGCTCTTGCTAATAATCCTCAGTTGAGACTGGGAATGATTTTGACGAAAACTACGTCAACTTACGGCCAAACACGGCCATTTTCCATAAGTGGCGCCATCGCTGAAATTTTAAAACAGATATTCTGCCAATATCATCTAATTTTCTTTAATGATGACAGGCGTGTTACTCGTACCAGTTTTCTTTTGTTTGTTACTGGGTAAGTGAATTTTGCTTTCAAACACATTCAATGATTACACACGCTCTACGTTTGCTGTAAATTAAAACCAGATGCAGAATTCAAATTTTCTACTGTTCTGAGTTGTTTGTTTTTAGACATTTCTTCCTTATGAGGAAGCAGAAATGAAAGATTTCCTCTCATTATCTAAGCAAATCAAGCGAAAAATGGCTGCTTTCTCTAGTAAAGGTCTTAAACTGTATTAAATTGAGAGAATTTGTCGTCATGCAAGCGTTGCATTCGCAATTCGAATTTATCTAACGGTTAAAACAGGTTCATTTGGAACTATTTTTGACGCCTGGAATTTATATTTTTGAAGCTCTTCACGACAAAAGGCTATAAGTAATTCGCGATGCTGAATATGCCAAATTCTCGTAACTCTTCAACCGCTACCACTTCAAGCTAATGTAATATTTGTTTATTTCCAGGTCAATGCACCCATTCTGGTTAGATTAGTGATCACTTGCTAAGGAAGTCTACATTTATTTATGCTTCACATAATACCCGTTGTGGCATTTATCAAAATTGGATGAAAGAATTTGAAGTTCCATTCCATTTTTTATTATCATACAGAAAATTTAGTAAATTGATTCGTTGGCCTATTCTTTCTTGCTGAACTCGGCTTCGCGGTTATACCTTTTGACGAAAACATAAACTCACTGATATTTCAAGTTTCTGTCAACTCGAGAATCTTGTCATTTTTCATTAAATAAAATTGAGGATGTAACTTAGTTTGTCAGGTGTAGTTCAATTTTATCTTTCCATTTCAAGTCTGATATTGTTTTGATTGTTGTTTTGATAAAGTTGTTTGTTTGTTTTCACACAGGTGCAAACCCTGAGGCCGGTCATGCCGATGAAGGTCACAACGCAGATGGCATGGAGGTGGGTTCAGGTGGCGTGTTTTGTAAAGCTGTTGCCCGTTCAGGGAAAATCATGTGTGCTCGTCCTCAGAAAGGGAAAATACAAGATTATAGCGAGAAAAACGTCGATCGCATTGTCATTGAATTCGACAGTTTGCAAGAGAAGAACAGTGGTGGTAACATGGTTGGAAAAGCCGGGCGGAAAGGACATCAATTTGACTCGTTTGCTGGTCAAGACTTTAATTTTGCCGGCTTGAAAGATGTAACGTATCAAGGGCTTCATGCAAAAAATTTCAATTTCTCTTCTTCTCTACCCGGGCCGAATGCAACCTTTACGGTTTTGGCGTACATGTTTGAAGATTTTGGAAACATCACGTTCGGGAACGAGACTTCAGAGATGAGGAAGGGCATGCTCAAGTTTAACATTCAGGTATGGCTAATAGTATGAAGATTAGGATCAGAGAATTGTACTCGACTGAAAACATGAAATTTTGTCGAAGGTTACGCCAAAACATTTTTACTATGCTCGATCGATAATTCAAAACAAAAGCTTTAAGGGCGCCTCATCCTCCCCCTCCCCTCCCCTCCCCTCACCCCTCTCCCTCACACCAGCCTCCCATTCCTACCACCAACAGGTAAGACTTGCCAAGAATATAAGGCTTATTTAGACCACGACATTTTCCTGGATCAAATTCTTAAGTGCAAGAAAGGAAAGCAGGCTCACTGTTGATAGCACTCAGGCTACGGAATTTATTTCTTGTTGATCTGTAACGCCGAGGGAATTTTTAAGAAGCTTAGTCATTTATATGTTTTAGATCACGGTCTGGTTTTATTCGCTGACAAATCAACACAAATTCTTTCACATAATATCCAGCTGGCTCCTGTTCTTCCCTTAATTTCCCTAGTCTTTTGCAGATTTACTCGCTACAATGTTTGCTTAAAATTTCTAAAATCCACCATGGTGCAATCCCTTGACTTACCAACACGTAGAAGTCTACCAATGGTTTTTCCCAAGAGTCACCGCCTTTCAAACGGAAAGGGTTATTAAAGTGTTTTTCTGGGAGACTTCAGCCGTTCCAACCTTGACTAGTTGCATTTGAAACGGTTTTCTCCAAGAGAGCACGACGTCCGTTGGTGCTTAGTGCCCTCGTCGAAAGAATTAGCACGATTTGCATTACACGGACGAAGATGTGCGAAGAACTTCAGCATTAACTATCTCTTCTTTTCAGATTGAAAACTGGAAATTTTGCTCCAATTTAAGTGATGACTGCGAGAGTGCTGATCGAGGAGAATTTATAGATGTCACTTTAGTCATCAAAAGTAGAGGAAAACCAAAGTTTCGTTCCGAAGAAGAAAAAGAAAAGCTATTAAAAAAAGCTCGCGCCGGACGACACGGTGGACATGGAGGAGGAGAGGGACATAACCATAACGGTGGAGATGGAAAAGAAAAAGGTTCACAGGAATACCATCCCAGGTGCTTCAAAAGGGGGAAGTATAACAAATGTCCCAAAGAGTTTGATATCGGAGGGGGATCAGACATGATGCTTAGCTCACAGGTAAAACATTATAAGTTCACGGGCGAAATGCACTAAATTTCTCTGTGAAGAAAAAAAACATAAACTAGCCAAGAAAACCATTTTAAAATGTCAGATGGGTTATCAGTTTACTGATAATTCTTGGTCTTAGAACGTACGCCCACGACCTCCTTTACCTCGATTTATCTATGAATTAAGTGGACAAAGAACAGCTGTTCTTTGAAGCAGTCTCCTAGCCTGAGAGAAGTTGCTCAAGATTAAGGCTACATGTCGATTCTATTAATCCTTTGGATGTGATCATTATGGTTAGCACCAGACCACTTATAACCAAGGTTACATGCTTCCAATGGAACTTAGGATAGGAAGTGTTTGGCTAATAAGCTTATATTATGAGTCCTGGTGTTGCTTATGTTGTATAATTTTATACATAGAAAATACTCCTGATTACATTTTTACTTACCTCTTAACATATATATATATATATATATATATATATATATATCAGTAATCATATATTCCAGCTCTTACTCAAAACACAAAGTACTCCAATTATATTTGTCAATTCATGTAATTATTTGTCATAAGGTGAGAAGGGGTGCATTAAGATTTTTGTTGTACACAATTGGCACAGAGATGTCCCATTATTTTCTCTTGACTTAAATTAAAACATGGGGTGACGGTTTTCGGAATTACATCCTCTATCCCTGGGGGATGTTGAGTTTCGACTCGGTGTCATGTCATGCTAATACTGTAGTGTCTTAAATACATAAACACAGTATAAAGTCCGAGTTACAACACACATGGCTAGAAAGCAACTTTGTACACAATTCCGAGTCACGTGATAATCGCACTAGTCCCAGGACTCTACAATTGCAATATTGGCAGAGTGTAGAGGGCGTGTCAGGCGTGTCTTTCCCCTCGGCCCCCTAGAGGCAAGAGGTGCAAAACACAGGAATACCACTGATGATAATCACCTGGCCTGCTATATTTGTTGCAGGTGATGGTGGACGATGTTGTGATGGATATGCCTGGAAATGGTGAATATCCTAAGTATAAGGAACTCGGAAACAAACAAAAATTTATCTTCCGATTTCCGAAGGCTGCAAGCAAGATTTTATACGATCCAGGCCTTGAAGTCGGAACGCAGTCTAGTAATGAGAACAAAGTAGAGTCTGGAAAAGTTAACGTTCTGATGTTCGTTACTTTCCTAGCTTACCTTTTCACTTTTTGAGGATAAAAACCTGGCGCTTTGGGTTCGGATGCATAGATAATTACTTAAAATGCTTTTTGAATGCGTATCCAGTAAGAAAATGATGTCGTCTACAAGGTTTAAGTTTTATTTGTTCATTTGTATGGTTTGCTCGTCCTTCTTTTAACGCCATGTCCACATTAAAGTGCTGAATTACGCGAATATCTTTATCAAGACTATTTTTATCCTTTATTAGTACTGAATCATCCGTAACTTGAATTTCCGATTTGTTGGCGAGCGTAGGGAGTCATGTGATGTTATACCAATAAGTTAAGAATATACCGCATATCTTACTTTAAAATTTGAAGTTAGATTCAAGACGGCAGGGGTGGTGGTGACGCTTACTTGAATAAGCTTTCCCGAATCCAGGCCATAGTGATAGGTGTGACAAAAAGAGCGTCGTTCAACCGCTCTATTTGATAATAATTTTGTCTTCTATCATTCGATCTACAGCTGGTCTTAAAAGCAGTGTTTTTTTTTTCACGCTGAACAACCGCTTAAGGTGAGGCCTGGCTATTTTTTCCAGTCCTGTTTGTTGTCCTTGAAGATGGCAGCCCTACTTGAAGCTTCTCAGATATCTCAAATCAAGAATTCACAGAAAAACAGGTTAGGCTTATCAAATAGTCAGTTGGGCTTATCATCCGCGAGAGGGCTGGATCGAGGGAGCCTTTCAATCAGTCCAGAATTCGATGAATATCCCTCTTGAGGAGCTGCTGGGAACAGACTTTTGACAATTTCGGACTGCTAGTAAGACAAACGAAGTTGTTCATGAAGACATATAAATCTAAATACGTCGAAAATCTTATTCCGATTAGAAACATATTTCAACGCCCAATTTCTGGTACTATTCCTCCGATAATGTAACATTTTTTTAATGTAAACACGTACTAGCAACTTGCTAAGCCATAAATGAAACTCATGGGATGATGTTTTCATCTCACTATTTTGTGTATCATAATATCTTCTTCTACCTTTTCGTCTTATTCTCTTGTTTTTAAAGCCAGGAAAA